CAAGACCATAAAATATAGTGAATAAATTCTATTAATTTTATAATAATAAAAATCCTTATAAAGTAAGTAAGTGATATAAATAAAGGCAGAAAAAGAAGTTGAAAGTTAAACAAGGATGAGATCACATGGAGGAAAGTGTAGGGATTTATAAATGAATAACTTCAAAGTAGCTAAACTGGAGGAAGAAGCCTAAAGATCAGAGGGGTCCACTGAGCAAAGACCAGTTGTAAAGAGTTACACTGCCTTTTCACTATATGATATTAATTTATCTGGAAAAAAGTTGATCTGGATGACCTTATTAATTTGGTGTACCTCCTACTTCCTTCTCCAGTCTAGCAAGTCTTACATTTAAATAAATTCTACTGATGTTAATGAATATTATACCTGGTGGAATAATGAAGAGATTGAGTGCATTTGGGGACCAGTAACTTGGAAGCAGGCAGGGACTCTGGACAAGGGGCAGACACTAATTACAGAGAGTTAGGAAGCCCTAAACAATACAAATTTCTGAGGCTCCCAAACAATGCCTTTGCCCTAAGGTTGTTTTTGTGGGGGTTTTTTTAACTTAATTTAATTTTTTTATACAGCAGGTTCTTATTAGTTATCCATTTTATACATATTAGTGTATATAGGTCAATCCCAATCTCCCAATTCATCCCACCACCACCACCCCCCACCACTTTTCCCGCTTGGTGTCCATGTGTTTGTTCTCTACATCTGTGTCTCACTTTCTGCCCTGCAAACCAGTTCATCTGTACCATTTTTCTAGGTCCCACATATATGTGTTAATATATGGTATTTGTTCTTCTCTTTCTGAATTAACTTCACTCTGTATGATAGTCTCTACGTCCATCCATGTCTCTACAAATGATCCAATTTCACTCTTTTTTACAGCTGAGTAATATTCCATTGTATATATGTGCCACATCTTCTTTATCCATTCATCTGTCGTAGGGCTTTTAGGTTGCTTCCATGACCTGGCTATTGTAAATAGTGCTGCAATGAACATTGTGGTGCATGTGTCTTTTTGAATTATGGTTTTCTCTGGGTACATGCCCAGTAGTGGGATTGCTGGGTCATATGGGAGTTCTATTTTTAGTTTTTTAAGGAACCTCCATACTGTTCTCCATAGTGGCTGTATCAATTTACATTCCCACCAACAGTGCAAGAGGGTTCCCTTTTTTCCACACCCTCTCCAGCATTTGGTTTTTTTCCCTCAAGACTGCTTTGGCTATTTGGGGTCTTTTGTGTCTCCATACAAATTTTAAGATTTTTTGTTCTAATTCTGTGAAAAATGTCATTAGTAATTTGATAGGGATTTCATTGAATTGGTAGATTGCTTTGGGTAGTATAGTCATTTTCACAATATTGATTCTTCCAATCCAAGAACATGGTATATCTCTCCATCTGTTGGTACCATCTTTAATTTCTTTTATCAGTGTCTTATAGTTATCTGCATACAGGTCTTTTGTCTCCCTATGTAGGTTTATTCCTAGGTATTTTATTCTTTTTGTTGTAATGGTAAGTGGGAGTGCTTCCTTAATTTCTCTTTCATATTTTTCATCATTAGTGTATAGGAATGCAAGAGATTTCTGTGCATTGATTTTGTACCCTGCAACTTTACCAAATTCATTGATTAGCTCTAGTAGTTTCATGGTGGGATCTTTAGGATTCTCTATGCATAGTACATTTCATCTGCAAACAGTGACGGTTTTACTTCTTCTTTTCCAATTTGTATTCCTTTTATTTCTTTTTCTTCTCTGATTGCCATGGCTAGGACTTTCAAAACTATGTTGAATAATACTGGTGAGAGTGGACAACTTTGTCTTGTTCCTGATCTTAGAGGAAATGCTTTCAGTTTTTCACCACTGAGAATGATGTTTGCTGTGTGTTTGTCATACATGGCCTTTATTATGTTGAGGTAGGTTTCCTCTATGCCCACTTTCTGGTGACTTTTTATCATAAATGGGTGTTGAATTTTGTCAAAAGTTTATTCTGCATCTATTGAGATGATCATATGGTTTTTATTCTTCAATTTGTTAATGTGGTGTATCACATTGATTGATTTGCGTATATTGAAGAATCCTTGCATCCCTGGGATAAATCCCACTTGATCATGGTATATGAGCCTTTTAATGTGTTGTGTTCTGTTTGCTAGTATTTTGTTGAGGATTTTTGCATCTATATTCGTCAGTGATATTGGTCTGTAATTTTCTTTTTTTGTAGTATCTTTGTCTTGTTTCGGTATCAGGGTGATGGTGGCCTCATAGAATGAGTTTGGGAGTGTCCCTTCCTCTGCAGTTTTTTGGAAGAGTTTGAGAAGGATGGGTGTTAGCTCTTCTCTAAATGTTTGATAGAATTCACCTGTGAAGCCATCTGGTCCTGGACTTTTGTTTGTTGGAAGATTTTTAATCACAGTTTCAATTTCATTACTTGTGATTGGTCTGTTCATATTTTCTACTTTTTCCTGGTTCAGTATTGGAAGGTTATCCCTTTCTAAGAATTTGTCCATTTCTTCCAGGTTGTCCATTTTATTGGCATAGAGTTGCTTGTAGTAGTCTCTTAGGATGCTTTGTATTTCTGCGGTGTCTGTTGTAACTTCACCTTTTTCATTTCTAATTTTACTGATTTGAGTCCTCTCCCTCTTTTTCTTGATGAGTCTGGCTAATGGTTTATCAATTTTGTTTATCTTCTCAAAGAAAAAGCTTTTAGTTTTATTGATCTTTGCTATTGTTTTCTTTGTTTCTATTTCATTTATTTCTGCTCTGATATTTATGATTTCTTTCCTTCTGCTAACATTGGGTTTTGTTTGTTCTTTCTCTAGTTACGTTAGGTGTAAGGTTAGATTGTTTATTTGAGACGTTTCTTATTTCTTGAGGTAAGCTTGTATAGCTATAAACTTCCCTCTTAGAACTGCTTTTGCTGCATCTCATAGGTTTTGGATCGCTGTGTATTCATTTTTATTTGTCTCTAGATATTTTTAAATTTCCACTTTGATTTCTTCAATGATCTCTTGGTTCTTTAATAACGTATTGTTTAGCCTCATGTGTTTGTGTTTTTTATGTTTTTTTCCCCTGTAATTGATTTCTAATCTCATAGTGTTGTGGTCAGAAAAGATGCTTCATAGGATTTCAGTTTTCTTAAATTTACTGAGGCTTGATTTGTGACCCAAGATGTGATCTATGCTGTAGAATGTTCCATGTGCATTTGAGAAGAAAGTGTAATCTGCTGTTTTTGGATGGAATGTCCTATAAATATCAATTAAATCTATCCGGTGTATTGTGTCAGTTAAAGCTTGTGTTTCCTTATTAATTTTCTGTTTGGATGATCTGTCCATTGGTGTAAGTGTGGTGTTAAATTTCCCCACTATTATTGTGTTACTGTCGATTTACTCTTTTATAGCTGTTAGCAGTTGCCTTATGTATTGAGGTGCTCCTATGTTGGGTGCATATATATTTATAATTGTTATATCTTCTTCTTGGATTGATCCCTTGATCATTATGTAGTGTCCTTCCTTGTCTCTTGTAACATTGTTTATTTTAAAGTCTATTTTATCTGATATGAGTATTGCTACTCCAGCTTTCTTTTGATTTCAATTTGCATGGAATATCTTTTTCCATCCCCTCACTTTCAGTCTGTGTGTGTGCCTAGATCTGAAGTGGATCTCTTGTAGACAGCATATATATGGGTCTTGTTTTCATATCCATTCAACGAGCCTGTATCTTTTGGTTGGAGCATTTAATCCATTCATGTTTAAGGTGATTAACGATATGTATGTTCCTATTACCATTTTCTTAATTGTTATGGGTTTGTTTTTGTAGGTCCTTTTCTTCTTTTGTGTTTCCCACTTAGAGAAGTTCCTTTAGCATTTGCTGTAGAGCTGGGTTGGTGGTGATGAATTCTCTTAGCTTTTGCTTGTCTGTAAAGCTTTTGATTTCTCCATGGAACCTGAATGAAATCCTTGCCGGGTAGAGTAATCTTGGTTGTAGGTTCTTCCCTCTCATCACTTTAAATGTATCATGCCACTCCCTTCTGGCTTGTAAAGTTTCTGCTGAGAAATCAGCTGTTAACTTTTTGGGAATTCCTTTGTAAGTTATTTGTCATTTTTCCCTTGCTGCTTTCAATAATTTTTCTTTGTCATTAATTTTTGTCAATTTGATTACTATGTGTCTTGGCATGTTTCTTTTTGGGTTTGTCCTGCCTAGGACTCTCAGTGCTTCCTGGACTTGGGTGGCTATTTCCTTTGCCATGTTAGGGAAATTTTCGACTATAATCTCTTCAAATATTTTCTCTGGTCCTTTCTCTCTCTCTTTTCCTTCTCCTCTGGGACCCCTATAATGTGAATGTCGTTGCGTTTAATGTTGTCTCAGAGGTCTCTTAGGCTGTCTTCATTTCTTTTCATTCTTTTTCCTTTATTCTGTTCCGCAGCAATGAATTCTACCATTCTGTCTTCCAGGTCGCTCATCTGTTCTTCTGCCTCAGTTATTCTGCTATTGATACCTTCTAGTGTATTTTTCATTTCAGTTATTGTATTGTTCATCTCTGTTTGTTTGTTCTTTAATCCTTCTAGGTCTTTGTTAAACATTTCTTGCATCTTCTTGCTCTTTGCCTCCATTCTTTTTCCGAGGTCCTGGATCATTTTCACTATCATTGTTCTGAATTCTTTTTCTGGAATGTTGCATATCTCCACTTCACTTAGTTGTTTTTCTGGGGTTTCTCTTGTTCCTTCATCTGGTACAAAGTCCTCTGCCTTTACATTTTGTCTATGTTTCTGTGAATGTGCTTTTCCTTCCACAGGCTGCAGAACTGTAGTACTTCTTGCTTCATCTATCTGCCCTCTGGTGGGTGAAGTTATCTAAGAGGCTTGTGTAAGTTTCCTCATGGGAGGGACTGGTGGTGGGTAGAGCTGGCTGTTGCTCTGGTGGGCAGAGCTCAGTAAAACTTTAATCCGCTTGTCTGCTGGTGGGTGGGGCTGGGTTCCCTCCCTGTTGGTTGTTTGGCGTGAGGCAACCCAACACTGGAGCCTACCCGGCTCTTTGGTTTGGGCTAATGGCAGACTCTGTGAGGGCTCACGCCAAGGAGTACTTCCCCAAACTTCTGCTGCCAGAGTCCTTGTCCCCAAGGTGAGCCATAGCCACCCACTGCCTCTGCAGTAGACCCTCCAACAGTAGCAGGTCGGTCTGTTTCAGTCTCCTATGGGGTCACTGCTCCTTCACCTGGGTCCTGATGCACACACTACTTTGTGTGTGCCCTCCAAGAGTAGAGTCTGTTTCCCCCAGTCCTGTCGAAGTCCTGCAATCAAATCCCACTAGCCTTCAAAGTCTGATTCTCTAGGAATTCCTCCTCCCGTTGCCAGACCCCCAGGTTGGGAAGCCTGACGTGGGGCTCAGAACCTTCACTCCAGTGGGTGGACTTCTGTGGTATAAGTGTTCTCCAGTTTGTGAGTCACCCACCCAGCCGTTATGGGATTTGATTTTATTGTGATTGCACCCCTCCTACCATCTCATTGCAGATTCTCCTTTGTCTTTGGATGTGGGGTATCTTTTTTGGCAAGTTCCAGTGTATTCCTGTTGATGATTGTTCAGCAGTTAGGTGTGATTCTGGTGGTCACTCAAGAGGGAATGGAGCGCACGTCCTTCTACTCTGTCATCTTGAACCAATCTAATACATTCCTTTTTATATCATTTTTTAAACCTTTGAACCTACTCAAATTATTTAAAGGTACTGAGCAAGGAAAAAAATTTTTTCTACTTCTTTAATGTTGCATCTATATGAGATGATGGATGTTCACTAAACTTTTTGTGGTAATCATTTCATGATGTACATAAGTCAAATCATTATGCTGTACACCTTAAACTTATACAGTGCTATACGTCAGTTACATCTCAATAAAACTGTAAAATAAATAAATAAAGGTACTGAAACATTTTGAGGGGAAGAGATTCTTAAATGACCAAACGAACTGAAGAGCTATGATCCTGCATTAGGCAAGCCCCCAAATCTCAGAGAAAGAAGACAGAGGCCAGAGTTGATTTTGCAACCAAGAAGGTGATATCCCTGTGTGCTAGGTTACATTTGCCAGGTAACTTGGGTCTGTGTGACCCGGTACTTCTGAGAGATCCTGAATGTGTGAGGGTAAAGTGAGGGAGGTGTTAGGTTGTGTTTGTGGGGCTGTGTGTGGGGATGTCACAGTGTCCAGACCAGGGCAACCCTAGATGACCGTGTTAGCTGCAAGATTTGGTGGTAGACTGGTCTGGACAAGGAAGGTGTTAAGCACTGGATTGTGTTCCCTCAAATTCATTTGTTGAGGTCGTAACGCCAGGACCTCAGAATATGACTGTATATGGAAATTCTGTCTTTAAAGAGGTAATTAAGTCAAAATAAGGTCATTAGGGTTGGCCTTACTCCAACATGACTGGTGTCCTTATATGAAGAGGAGATTAGGACACACACATGCACTAAGGGAAACCACAGGAAAGCACTGGGAGAAGACGGCCATTTGCAAGCCAAGGAGAGAGGCCTCAGAAGAAACCGCTCTTGCTGACACATTGATCTGGGACTTCTAGCCTTCAGAACTATGAGAAAATATTGACACCACCCAGTCTGTGGTACTTTGTCATGGCAGCCACAGAAGGGGACTGGAGGGCAAGGAGAACAGCTTTGCTAAGAAAGGGGTGAGCCCAGGAGAGAAGCAGGGGTGAGATGGGGGTGGCGGTGATACTGAGGGAGTCACAGCTTTGGGGGATCCTGGGAGAAAAGGAAGAGAGGGAGAGCATCGAAGAGAGGAAGGAGAAACGTGGGGGGGGGGGGGGGGGGGGAGGGCAGTGAGCAGAAGGCAGCAAGTCTCTCATTTCTCTCTCTTAAAATCCCATTTTCCCCAGAGCCAGCCCTTCCCCAGGGCTACACTCTCAATGTCCCTCTGTTCTGCTTCGGCAGCAGAAGGTTTGGCTCTTAGGAGGGGCCTCTGTAGAGCCGTGCCGCCCCTCCCCACCATCTGACGGCCCATTGTGCCCTCAGAGCTTGGAGGGGTGATTCTGAGGGGCACATTCCCTGGGCTCCAGGAAAATCTCTGGCTCCCAGGACTCCCCGGTGCAATCGGGAGCAGAGGGGGCCGGCTCCCATGCTGGGGAGGGGGCTGCAGGTGGGGGATGGGCAGCCAGGGAATGACTGCGGCCTCAGCTGGCGGGGTCTCCTCCTGCCACCTCCGCCCCTCGGCCCTGCGGCAGCTGGGCCCGCGCCCTCTCCTTCCCCCAGGCTTTTGTAGCTCCAGTTTATTTTCCAGTTAATGAAGTGCGGGGAGGCTGCGTCCTGGCTGCTGCCCCTGGAAACGCTGAAGTTCGGAAGGCATCTCCTCCCGGAGGCTGCAGCCTGCGCCCTCGGCCCCTTCCTCGCCCGCCCCTGCCCCAGGCGGCCTGCGGGTCCCACCTGCCAGAGCGTCTGCCGCCTGGGGCCTCACTCCGCCAGCCCGGGACCAAGGCCAAAGCAGGCGTCCTAGGGTGGTGTGAGGGAGGAAAGGAAAACCCTGCAGCCGAGGCCTAACTCTCCTTCTGCCGTTTGCCGGCTGTGTGTCTTCCAGCAAGTCACTCAGCCTCTCTGAGTGTAAGACGAGCAGTGGAGTCTGGGAACTTAGCTCTTCTCTTTGGAGTCAAGGGAGGTGAGGGAAACAGGGCCTAGGTCACCAGAAACAGAGAGGAAACAAGCTTCTGTGTTTATCCAGGCTTTGCAGCCTCCCAGCTGAGCAACCTGGAGCAGGTGACCTAACATCTCGGGGACTTATTTCCTTCATCTGTCAAATGGAGGAAACAAGTAGTTGCCAATGGGGCAAACAAGTAGTTATTGAGGGGGTAACTGAGATAATTCACAGTTAAGCATTTATAATAACGTGGGCTCATAATAAAAAGTGCGGCCATTATAATTATTATTATTCAGCATTACCTTAATAAAATACCAATGCTGTGGGCAGAGATCAACCCTACTTTACGGGCCCTGAAGCTTATACCATTTTGGTTTTTTGTTGGGGAGGTGGTGGGGAGGGTCCTTAATAAAGGAAAGGAACATGAAAAATTATAAACGCAAAAGTAGGTAAGAAGTGACCATTTATTTTAAAATTGAAAAAAGGATTCATAACAAGCTACAGGTTTTAAAAAGTTGACAAATCAACAATCATTAAAAATCCAGAAAAGTGAAATAATCATTTTTATTAATTAACTGCCTGACGCACCCATATAATATTTTTCTCTGCATTTTTGGCTGTGTCCCCTTTGACTGATTCCTCGTAATGATCCTATAATGGTTTTAATAGAGAGAGCAGAAGCGTAATTCAGCTTTCCTCTGGAATGGTTGATCAAAATTTATCTTTTTATTACTGATAGTCTTTAAAAGTGTCTTTCAACTTTAAAATTGCTATTGGTAATACCATCTATAATTTTAAGTTTTTTGTCATTTTTGGAAAAAGAAAAACCTCTACACATTTTAAAATTGTTTATTTATTTATTTATTTATTTTTGTCTGTGTTGGGTCTTCATTGCTGCGCGCGGGCTTTTCTCTAGCTGTGGCGAGCGGGGGCTACTCTTCCTTGTGGTGCGCGGGCTTCTCATTGCCATGGCTTCTCTTGTTGCGGAGCACGGGCTCTAGGTGCGAGGGCTTCAGTAGTTGCGGCACACGGGCTCAGTAGTTGTGGCTCGTGAGCTCTAGAGCGCAGGCTCAGTAGTTGTGGCGCATGGGATTAGTTGCTCCACAGCCTGTGGGGTCTTCCCAGACCAGGGCTCGAACCCGTGTCCCCTGCATTGGTAGGTGGATTCTTAACCACTGCGCCAACGGGGAAGCCCAAACCTACACACTTTTTAAAAAAATAATTGAGCTGTAAGATATCAGGACAGTTCGAGTTTTCTTATGTTGTAACTAATCTTAAATACTTGTTATAAAGGACACCAGTTACTATTAACCAGTTTGTCCTCATTGTAGTGGTCTATTATGAGTTTTATGTTATCTTTATCAAATCACTAAGAAATTTAAAACTTTTCCCACTGTAATTGTATGTGTTACCCTCTTCATTAATTGGATTATTAAAGAATCCCAGAGCCTGTTAGAAAACTATCTCTTCCCTTTTATTTTTCTTGGCCGTGCTGCATGGCATCCGAGATCATGGTTTCCAACCAGGGATGGAACCCACGCCCTCTAAAGTGGAAGCACGGAGTCCTAACCACTGGACCGCCAGGGAATTCCCACTATCTCTTCCTCTTAATGCAGCGTCTCTTTGGGGGTAATCTGAGTTTTGTGTTACAATTCCCGTCCTAATGTCGGAATAATTTCTACCTAATCATCTCATATAAAAACACACAGGAATCATTTTTGTGTGGTATATTTATAATTTATATGCTACCTCATTAGGCATATTCCTGACAGGAAAGAACTTCCATTTTGACAAAGCATCAGTGAGAACCAAACCCAACACTTGCCATATTACACATCAGGTGATTAGAAGAATCTTCCACGGACTAGCTTCCGCTTTCCGTGCCTCCAGGTCCGGGTGCTAGAGGACACGTTCTTGGCACCACAACCCTCTGGCTCTGCATCTGCATGTCCCGATGCTGCATGAGTCAGCTTGGTGACCGTAGGAGCATTCCCGGAAGCCATCCCAACACCAGAGAGTTAGCATAACCATACATGCAAGTGATTGTGAGCTATACCACATAACCCTTTAATCCAACCTAAATGTACTCCCAACTAAATTTCCCCTTAGCCAGACTCCCAGAATGCCCGTGGCTTCTCTACCACCTGACAAGAGGCGAGGTGGAGGTGGAGGGGAAGTTATAATGAAAAGAAACTACAGACACAATCAGTTGTGATTACAATATCTTACTCTTGCAATTTTTTTTTTTTTTTTTTTTTTGCGGTACGCGGGCCTCTCACTGTTGCGGCCTCTCTGGTTGCGGAGCACAGGCTCCGGACGCGCAGGCTCAGCGACCATGGCTCACGGGCCCAGCCGCTCCGCAGCATGTGGGATCTTCCGGGACCAAGGCACGAACCCATGTCCCCTACATCGGCAGGCGGACTCTTAACCACTGTGCCACCAGGGAAACTCACTCCTGCAATTTTTAGGCAGAACCACATGAACGCACTGGCAGGGTACAACCCAGGACCTTAGAAGGAACAAGTGAGCTTCATTAACTTCACGATAAGTTTGCCTCTGCTTGTAGACTCTTGGGCCAGGTATAATTTTATGGGCTCTAGAAGGTTTCTCTATAGTACCCCCAAAATGCCTCCTTATCAAGTATAAAGATGTCTATAACTACACTGTCAGACATATATTTCTTTGGTTAAAATATTGCCCCAGTGCTACTCTCTTTTAAAATGTATCTGGGAATTCTCTGGTGCGCCAGTGGTTAGGACTTTCACTGCCAGAGGCCCAGGTTCGGTCCCTGGTCAGGGAACTAAGATCCCACAAGCCATGCGGCGTAGCCAAATATATATATATATATATATATATATACATATACATATATATATATATATACACATATATATATAATATATATAAAAAATATATATTATATATCTGGTGGGGGAGGATATGGAGTCTTTCACATTTTAGTATAAACTCATTTGACAGTGAAAGTTTAGAGCAGTAAGAGAGCTCTCAAGATTGTGGAATAACACTTTAAGAAAGAGACTGTATCACCAAAGGCAAACTTCTTTCAATTCACACTTTGCACGGGGAATGAACGTGCTGGATTCTGCAGCCTAATTGGGGGTTGCAAGCGGCCTATGTGAGAAGGTGGAGTTGTGGGGAACACCTCTAGGAACTCAGCATCATTTTTAGTCACTTTTCAACTCTGAGCAATAATAGAAGAGATAAGAATCCCTTATAATATTAATAGCAATTCTTTAACGACATCACTTGGCTTGTTAAATATTTTGGATTTTATTCAGTGCCTTAAGCCACATGCTGGTGGCCCAGCTGAGGGTGAGTTGGGAAGACACATAATTGTTCTGATTTGCTCTGGCTTGCTTCCTGCATGGTCACTCTGCCCCCACTTCCCAATCTCTGCTTCCCAAACTCTGCTTGCCCGAGACCATGACTCAGGTCCCAGCCTAACTGAATTACACCACCAACACCCTACTCCCCACCCACCTTGGGTACTTTCTAGTTCCCACTTTCCCAGAGGTAAGCATCTGATGGTTTGTTGGTGAGAAAGAGAATCTCAGTTCATCGTTGCTTCTCTTTCCATTTAAGACTCTAAATAGAGGTGGCGGTAAAATTACCCAAGAAGATCCAGAAGCAGAGGAGGAGAGATGGAGAGGAAAGCCGGTGTCCTGAGCAGTGGGTGACTGCCAGGTGACTGTTTATCTCAGCCTCTCTCACTGGCTCTGAGCTTTCTTTCCCCCATGTAAATGAGGTAGGAGAGGGGTAGGTCCCCAGAACACAGAAGGGCCTGGGGCTTCTTCTTTCAAAGCAGTGATTCTCTCACAAGCCTCCTCAGAAAACTCCACTTTGATAACCCCAGCACCTGAGCAACCCACCCTGGAACCAGTTGTGAAGAGGCAGGCTGTCAGCTGGCTGTGTGCAGTGTCTTTGAGAAGAGAATGCAAATCCTGGGATATTAGATAGAAACCAGGCTATACAGCACTTAGCGCAAGGTCTCCAGGAATAGAAGAAACATGGTAGACTTTGACATACTTGTTGAGAGTCCTATGGTCACATTTATTGATACTTGCTCTGTACCTTTGGGCAAGCTACTTAACCTCTCTCTGCCTCAATCCCCCTACACAGAAGTGGAGATGTTGACACCTTTCTAGTCATTGTGAGGATTGAAAATCATGCCAGTACAGCTTCTAACACCATGCTGGACATGTTGTAGATGCTCAGGGGGGACTAGGGTCACAGAAGGAAGAGATATTTGATTGAACAAACATTCTCTGAGCTTCTGCCATGTGGCAGGTCCTGAGAAGACCCTGAGGGAAGAACTAAGATGTATGGGGAAGGGACTCACAGTTCGAGGTGGAAACAAGACATGTCTGTGTGCAAGTTTATCATAGTAAACGAGTGACCTCAAGTTGCAGAGAGCGCAGAGTCAGTGGCGTTGTGAGGAGAGAACCAAAAGGTACATCATCCCACCAGGCAGCTCAGTGAAAATGCTGCATCTGAGTTGGGCCTTGAAGGAGCAGTTTTGACTGGAGATTTATGGTAGAAAAATACACCACATGGAGGGGAAAGCATGAGCAAAGGATGAAGGGGTGAACCCCTAGGGATCCTTTGGGGAAACTCACCGGATTCTAGGAACCACGTAGCGTATGTGAATAAAGCTGTCCATGGAGCCCAAAGGTAAGTGAAGGCCACGGGGGCTTTGCATGCCTTAAATGTCCACAACTCACTAGGAAACGGGGAACAGGGGCAGGTGTTTGAATGCAGAGTTTTGGAGAGACAGCCCCACTCCTCAGAGCATCCTGGTACTCCCAAAGCAGGGGCCCGGCCCAGCCATCCTGTT